ATTCCTGGGAATTATATATAACCTAGAATTTATAATTAATGTTTTCTTTATCTAAGCACAAAGGAATATACTAAAATAATAACTATATTTGAATATAAATTTCAATTTAGGAATTAAATTCACTTTTCGTATATAAGACTGCACAATTTTCAAATCTCTGGGAATAATTACGAAACATTTTTGAAAGAGGAGGGTAGCTATAATTATTTTGGATTAAGAGGCCTTTTAAGAGGATCAAGAGGCACTCCTCGTGAAGGATCCAAGAGGAAAGCGTCTACAAGATGAGGGACTTACGTTAGAAAGACCGACAGGTGAGAGGTGAGCAGAGAAGGTCCTGTCACTGGTGGTGGGGAAGGTCGTGGTGGTGGTCGTGGTGGTGTCGTCTGTCTCCCTCACTGGTCGTGAGTTGGGGGCATCCTGAAGCAAATTATATCATCAGCCATCACATACCACAGGTGGTAATACTGATATAAACACAGCCCACCATTGGTAATATTGGTATAAACACAGCCCATGATGGGTAATATTGGTATAAACACAGCCCATGATGGGTAATATTGGTATAAACACAGCCCATGATGGGTAATATTGGTATAAACACAGCCCATGATGGGTAATATTGGTATAAACACAGCCCATGATGGGTAATATTGGTATAAACACAGCCCATGATGGGTAATATTGGTATAAACACAGCCCATGATGGGTAATATTGGTATAAACACAGCCCATGATGGGTAATATTGGTATAAACACAGCCCATGATGGGTAATATTGGTATAAACACAGCCCATGATGGGTAATACTGATATAAACACAGCCCACGATGGGTAATACTGATATAAACAAACAACGTCTAAACTTGGTGATATGTTGGAAAACATCTTAGTGTAAGCTGAGGAGAGAGAACATCTGGAGCCGCACCTCCGGTGTTGGAGGTTTTATTTTTACAGCTACAGTTCTCTCGTTACCGAGGCTCTGTGAAAGTTGCTACAACTACAGTACTTACGTTACTGAGGCTCTGTGAAAGTTGCTACAACTACAGTACTTACGTTAGTGAGGCTGTGGGGTGCAAATGGCCTGTTGGCACGGAAGGCTGGGATGGTGACTGGAGGCTCTGTCTTGTCATCTTTTTCAGTTGATGAGTTATCGTCATCCTGCAAAGATTACAAGAACACTGATAACCATACACAGTGTGTGGACAGTGACGGGATCATACACCAGTGTGTGGACAGTGAGAGGATCATACACCAGTGTATGGACAGTGAGAGGATCATACACCAGTGTGTGGACAGTGAGAGGATCATACACCAGTGTATGGACAGTGAGAGGATCATACACCAGTGTATGGACAGTGACAGGATCATACACTGGAACACCCAACATATCAAAGACACTTCCACACCATACTTAGAGTACAGAACATGACAACACTTACCATTCTCAGCGATGACATAGCGATGACATATCTTAGCGATGACATATCTTAGTGATGACATATCTTAGTGATGACATATCTTAGCGATGACATATCTTAGTGATGACATATCTAGAATCTCGATACTGGCTTCATGTTTCAACAGTTAATGAATCTCAATAATGACCAGTTTTCTTTGTGAGTGGTAACAAGATAATTTACCATTTATTGAGATTGTACCTCCTTATTGTGTTGTGTAGATTAGTGGGGGTCTGTTAATGATGCAGTGTGGCCCTCCTAAGCACGGGGTGCATGATAAAGTCGCTGCTTATATAGTACAGGTAATTAACGTGTGGTAATAGTTTTTATCTTCCTGTTTAGAGAAAGTCTTTGTATTGGTTATTTCGCTCTCTCTCTCTCTCTCTCTCTCTCTCTCTCTCTCTCTCTCTCTCTCTCTCTCTCTCTCTCTCATACGTATATCTTACGAAGAGAGGTTAAGGGATATCGACCTTACGGCACTGGAGGACAGGAGAGACAGGGGAGAGGGACATCATAACGATGTATAAAATATTGAGAGGAATTGACAAGGTGGATAGGGACAGGATGTTCCAGAGATGGGACACAACAACAAGGAATCACAATTGGAAGTTGAAGACTCGGACGAGTCACAGGGATGTTAGGAAGTATTTCTTCAGCCACAGAGTTGTCAGGAAGTAGAACACTCTAGAGAGTGATGTAGTGGAGGCAGGATCCATGCATAGCTTAAGAAGATGTATGACAAAGCTGACTGAGCAGGGGAAGAAAGTGGACCTGGTAGTGAGCAGTGAAGAGGTGGGGCCAGGAGCTATGAATCGACCCCTGCAACCACAATTAGGTGACTAATTGAGTACACACACACACACACACACACACACACACACACACACACACAACGCTACTTACTAAAGGACTCTGGGCACTGCGAGCCTTAATGCCATGATTTAGTGGCACTGGGTGACTGCCCACACTCAGTGTACGTTCGCTAGTGGTAACAGGACTTTCAGTGGTGGTGGTGGTGGTGCCGCCGAAGAGTGGACCAATCTGCGCAGCTGTGTGGACAGAAGATGAGAGTTAAACAAGACGCATCGAGATCCGTCGAGAAATGCATTTCCAAAGTTTTAGTTAGTTTAATATGTTTATTATGCACCCCATACCCATCCTGTGGGCGGTAGTCAAAAGATTACAGAGGTACATAATGGGTCCAGGGACTGGGTCTCAAAGTTTTGATAGCTGAGCAAGTTACAGAGGTAATGAATTCACAATTTATAAAGGTAATGAACTCCAGGTAGGTCTAGTCACAATCATGACAAGTTACAAAGGTATTTACAGATTACAGAGGTACACAATTTCCAAAGCCGAGTTGTAAATTCCACTAGATCAATTTTACCCACACGGGCGAGTTAGTGAATAATAAACGCGTGTAACACTACAAAAACACTGCAAAAACACTTACAAATACGCTAAAAACACTTCAAAAATTAAAAAAAAATCACAAAAACTTTAAAAATCTACAAAAATACTACAACACGCTACAAAAAAATATAAAAACACTTCGAAAACATTACAAAAACATTGAAAAAACACTAAGAAAAACACTGGAGTTTATGGTTATCATTTGTGGAGGGTCCAAAAGACGCTTCCGAAATGATTTGTATCTTAATTTATTTATTTTTTTCAGTTCTACTCAGCGTGATATCTCCTCCAGGGGCGGAAAGTCACCCTGATGCTGCTGAAGGGCTCGTGATCCAGGGATTTGGAGTTTCCCTTCCCTTCCTCGGGTCAAACCTTATTGCCTCCCATTCCCCCGGGCTCTGACTGACCCCTCCCCCTACGGATTTAGCACTTCCTCGTGAATAATAAATATTCTCCAGTGGATTGTATCAAAATTTAGAAATATACTTAATTATCTTACATATTATACATACAAGTCTGTATTATATATACAGTTGTATGGATATACGTGACCATACACCCGAAGGACCAACTCCAGGTGTAAGGTAAGATTTTGTTGGGATTTTTAACCCGGGTGGGTTAGCCAACCCAGGATAATCCTAGAAAGTCAGTGAGTCATCTAGGACTCTGTCTTATTTCCACTGTGGTCCTCAGTCTTGTCCCCCAGGATGCCACCCACACCAGTCCACTAACACCTAGGTACCTACTTACTGATAGGTGAACAGGGACAGCAGGTGTAAAGTGACTAACACCCAGGTACCTACTTACTGATAGGTGAACAGGGACAGCAGGTGTAAAGTGACTAACACCCAGGTACCTACTTACTGATAGGTGAACAGTGACAGCAGGTGTAAGGAAGCACGCCCAATGTCCCCACCCGACCGGTGATTGAACCACGGACACTCAGTGTGTGAGGCGAGAGAGTTGTCTACCACGCCACCGAAGTTCAGTCACAAGCTCCATAATATTAAACGTCATAACCATGATTTTTGAAGAGGTGGAACGGTAAGCCAGCGGAAGGCCTCGGTCAGATGACCAAAAGCTCCAGCTGTGGGTCATCATATAACTAAGACCAGCGTCAGGAAACACTTGTCCCGTTTCCTGACAAGCATTATACCTACCTGACCAGTTCTCCAGACTGCTGACTTGATCAATCAGACTGATGGTGCTAGCAGCAGCAGCTTTACGACTGGTCAAGAATTGTCAGGAGTACCTTACATTCCTTCTTCTCAGCAGACATCGCTTCTGCGAGTTAAAAATCAGAAGAACTTTCTCTGCAAGACTCACGATATCTTCAGTCTTCTCAGAAACAGCCTAAAAAAGGGTCCCAGGTCTGACAGAGGGTCTAAGATGGTTTTAGTTCCTTTAGGAGAAACTGACAGGTCGTAGATCTGTCAGAGGTAATTAAGAGACCAGTTATTTCACGAGGGAATACTTCAGTCGTAGGTAGATGGATGTGGCCTAATGTATCCTGACAACCTTGCGACGGTCTGGAGTTTTGAGACTGATCGCGGGTTCTAACCCCGCCCGTGGTATGGGTTGCTTGGTAAGTATATTTAGGTACAGGTGCACATAAATACTGTTACACAAATTATCATACATGGTAACATATGCAGAACAACTACTGTGAAGAGAATAGTGAACTTTCAAGAGCTTTCCTGATTTCTCACATTATCAAGGAACTGTGAAATCACAAAAGCGCCTGGAATTTCACTATTTTTTTCACAGTGCTTGTTCTGTATATTGTGAAACCACCTGTTTACTGTGACCATATTACACAATAACATATGTGTAAATTATCCAAGATAACCCAAAATAAGTCAAAGTGAGTAATTTGCACTGGGCTCGTCAACTTAAGTACTTTGTTAATGTCGATACTAACATCGGTCCTAAGGGTGAGACTGGAATCTTTCAAGTGCTGGACTTAACATTTTCCAGCACCTAAATACAACTGGAACTCCGGTTACTACCTACTCGTGAGACCATACCTAGTTCCTACAAGATACTCCCTTAGCATACACCAAATCTGTGTGTGTTGGTAGTGAAGAGTACGTCAGCCACTGACCCACCATATACCTCTGTAATCTTCTAACTACCGCCCCCAGGATGGGTATGGGGTATATAATGAAGATATTAAATTAAGTAGCCACTTACCAGGAGCAGCGTTGGCTGCTACAGCCAGGAGTGTAAGAGCGAGGGGCACGAAGGTATTCATGTTTGCTCTTCTACCGCTGTTGACCGCAAAAGAAGTGGACCACAATCATTCCAGTAGGCCCTTATATATGCTCCATTCATTGCCACGTCTCGCCACACAATCAAATTTACGACCCAAACAATATTTTCCTCATAAACCATCGCTTGTAATAGCGTCAGAGACAAAATTAATATTCACGACTTGACAGCAACAACAAGACATTTATAAGGCCATCAAGTAATGCTTTACGAAGAAAAATGGCCTTAAATACAGAATAACCAATTGCAGACTTTACAGCCGTACTTAATTATATTGTATGAGTACAAGGTCAGAATACTTAAGAGAATTATTACAGATCCGTGCACATGTGTGCGTTTGTATGTGTATTAATGGAAGAGGATAGTGTAATATATATATATATATATATATATATATATATATATATATATATATATATATATATATATATATATATATATATATATGTATACATAATCCGGAGGGTATTCGTGAGGGACTAATTATCTCAGACTCGGTTACATCTTCAAGTTATCTCTGTATGGACTGTTGAAGACACTAGTTGGCCAAACTTGTGCAGAATTAAAATTCCTAAGTGATCTACAATTGTCTTATTTGTCAACTTGACGGTTTTTTATGCCATTTATTCACAACCCAGATAACAGGAATAATCCAGATGATAACTGGAATAACCCAGATGATAACTGGAATAACCCAGATGATAACTGGAATAACCCAGATGATAACTGGAATAACCCAGATGATAACTGGAATAACCCAGATGATAACTGGAATAATCCAGATGATAACTGGAATAATCCAGATGATAACTGGAATAATCCAGATAACTGGAATAACCCAGATGATAACTGGAATAACCCAGATGATAACTGGAATAATCCAGATGATAACTGGAATAATCCAGATGATAACTGGAATAATCCAGATAACTGGAATAACCCAGATGATAACTGGAATAACCCAGATGATAACTGGAATAATCCAGATGATAACTGGAATAATCCAGATGATAACTGGAATAACCCAGATGATAACTGGAATAATCCAGATGATAACTGGAATAATCCAGATGATAACTGGAATAATCCAGATGATAACTGGAATAATCCAGATGATAACTGGAATAATCCAGATAACTGGAATAACCCAGATGATAACTGGAATAATCCAGATGACAACTGGAATAATCCAGATGGTAGATGTAATAACCCAGATGATAGATGGAATAACCCAGATGATAGATGTAATAACCCAGATAATAGATGTAATAACCCAGATGATAGATGGAATAACCCAGATAATAGATGTAATAACCCAGATAATAGATGTAATAACCCAGATGATAGATGGAATAACCCAGATGATAGATGGAATAACCCAGATAATAGATGTAATAACCCAGATAATAGATGTAATAACCCAGATAATAGATGGAATAACCCAGATAATAGATGTAATAACCCAGATGATAGATGGAATAACCCAGATAATAGATGTAATAACCCAGATAATAGATGTAATAACCCAGATGATAGATGGAATAACCCAGATGATAGATGGAATAACCCAGATGATAGATGTAATAACCCAGATAATAGATGTAATAACCCAGATGATAGATGGAATAACCCAGATAATAGATGTAATAACCCAGATAATAGATGTAATAACCCAGATGATAGATGGAATAACCCAGATGATAGATGGAATAACCCAGATAATAGATGTAATAACCCAGATAATAGATGTAATAACCCAGATAATAGATGTAATAACCCAGATAATAGATGTAATAACCCAGATAATAGATGTAATAACCCAGATAATAGATGTAATAACCCAGATAATAGATGGAATAACCCAGATAATAGATGTAATAACCCAGATGATAGATGTAATAACCCAGATGGTAGATGTAATAACCCAGATGATAGATGTAATAACCCAGATAATAGATGGAATAACCCAGATAATAGATGTAATAACCCAGATAATAGATGTAATAACCCAGATGGTAGATGTAATAACCCAGATAATAGATGGAATAACCCAGATAATAGATGTAATAACCCAGATAATAGATGGAATAACCCAGATAATAGATGTAATAACCCAGATAATAGATGTAATAACCCAGATAATAGATGTAATAACCCAGATGATAGATGTAATAACCCAGATAATAGATGTAATAACCCAGATAATAGATGGAATAACCCAGATGGTAGATGTAATAACCCAGATAATAGATGTAATAACCCAGATAATAGATGTAATAACCCAATAATAGATGTAATAACCCAGATAATAGATGTAATAACCCAGATAATAGATGTAATAACCCAGATAATAGATGTAATAACCCAGATGGTAGATGTAATAACCCAGATAATAGATGTAATAACCCAGATAATAGATGTAATAACCCAGATAATAGATGTAATAACCCAGATAATAGATGTAATAACCCAGATGGTAGATGTAATAACCCAGATAATAGATGTAATAACCCAGATAATAGATGTAATAACCCAGATAATAGATGTAATAACCCAGATAATAGATGTAATAACCCAGATGGTAGATGTAATAACCCAGATAATAGATGTAATAACCCAGATAATAGATGTAATAACCCAGATAATAGATGTAATAACCCAGATAATAGATGTAATAACCCAGATGGTAGATGTAATAACCCAGATAATAGATGTAATAACCCAGATAATAGATGTAATAACCCAGATGGTAGATGGAATAACTCAGATAATAGATGGAATAACCCAGATAATAGATGGAATAACCCAGATGGTAGATGGAATAACCCAGATGATAGATGGAATAACCCAGATGATAGATGGAATAACCCAGATGGTAGATGGAATAACCCAGATGATAGATGGAATAACCCAGATGATAGATGGAATAACCCAGATGATAGATGGAATAACCCAGATGATAGATGGAATAACCCAGATGGTAGATGGAATAACCCAGATGATAGATGGAATAACCCAGATGGTAGATGGAATAACCCAGATGATAGATGGAATAACCCAGATGGTAGATGGAATAACCCAGATGATAGATGGAATAACCCAGATGATAGATGGAATAACCCAGGCAGGAATAGTAGAATGGATTAAGGAATATTTGACAGGAAGGAAACAACGAGTGTTGATACTAGGTGTCAGAGTGGGCGCATGTGTCAAGTGGAGTTCCACAAGGATCAGTCCTAGGACCGATGCTGTTTCTGGTATATGTGGAAGGGATAGTTTCAGGGGCGTCCCTGTTTGGGGACGATGTGAAGTTAAGGAGGAAGATTCAGTGAGACGAGGATCAGGTAGGACTACAAAGGGATCTGGACAGGCTGGAAGCCTGTCAGGATGTGGAACAGTCTGGAGAGTAACGAGGTGGAGGCAGGATCCATACATAACTTTAAGAAAAGGTATGGTAAGTTCAGGGAGCAGGGATAGAGTGGACTTGGTAGAGACCAGTGAAGAGGCGAGGCCAGGAGCTATGACCCGACATTTGCAACCACAAATAGGTGAGTACACACACACAAACACACACACAACACACACACACACACACACACACACACACACACACACACCACACACACACACACACACACACACACACACACACACACACACACCACAGAACTGCAGGAGACCAAGAGAAGAAAGAATACGATGAGAGCAACAGAGCCATGGTCGACACACTAGCCGAGGTGGCCAGGAGAGCACACATGGGGGAGCAAAGTTACTAGTTATGGGTGATTTCAATCACAAGGAGATTGACTGGGAAAACCTGGAGCCCCATGGGGGTCCCGAAACATGGAGAGCCAAGATGATGGACGTAGTACTGGAAAACCTCATGCATCAACATGTTAGAGACACTACCAGAGAGAGAGGAGAAGATGAACCAGCAAGACTGGACCTTGTATTCACCTTGAGTAGTTCAGACATCGAGGATATCTTGTATGAAAGGCCCCTGGGAGCTAGTGATCATGTGGTTCTGTGCTTCGACTACATAGTTGAGCTCCAAGTGGAGAGAGTAGCAGGAATAGGCTGGGAAAAACCAAACTACAAAAGGGGGAACTACTCAGGCATGAGAGACTTCCTTCAAGACATTTAGTGGGAGAGGGAACTGATAGGAAAACCAGTACAAGAAATGATGGACTATGTGGCAACAAAATGCAAGGAGGCAGAGGAGAGGTTTGTTCCCAAGGGAAACAGAAATAATGGGAAGAACAGAACGAGTCCTTGGTTCACCCAAAGGTGTAGGGAGGCAAAAACTAGGTGTACTAGAGAATGGAAAAGGTACAGAAGACAGAGAACTCAGGAAAATAAAGAGATTAGCCGAAGAGTCAGAAACGAATATGCACAGATAAGAAGGGAGGCTCAGCGACAATATGAAAATGACATAGCATCGAAAGTCAAGACTGACCCGAAGCTGTTGTACAGCCACATCAGGAGGAAAACAACAGTCAAGGACCAGGTAATCAGACTGAGGAAGGGTGATGGGGAATTCACAAGAAACGACCGAGAGGTATGTCAGGAGCTCAACACGAGATTTAAAGAAGTATTTACAGTGGAAACCAGTAGGACTCCAGGAAATCAGAACAGGGGGGTACACCAGCAAGTGCTGGATGAGGTGCATATAACCAAGGAGGAAGTGAAGAAGCTGCTATGCGAACTTGACACCTCAAAGGCGGTGGGACCAGACAACATCTCTCCGTGGGTCCTTAAAGAGGGAGCAGAGATATTGTGTGTGCCATTAACAAAGATCTTCAACACATCATTTGAAACTGGGCAACTCCCTGAGGTATGGAATATGGCAAATGTAGTCCCAATTTTTAAAAAGGGAGACAGACATGAGGCACTAAACTACAGACCTGTATCACTAACGTGTATAGTATGCAAGGTCATGGAGAAGATCATCAGGAGGAGAGTGGTGGAGCACCTGGAAAGAAACAAGTGTATAATTGACAACCAGCACGGTTTCAGGGAAGGAAAATCCTGTGTCACAAACCTACTAGAGTTTTATGACAAGGTGACAGAAGTAAGACA